AGGGCTGTGGGTACAGGGGGATACACTGAGAAAGGCGATAACTCACAAGGCAAGACCACCATGGAATAGATCAGAAGCAACGAGCACCACTAACATACCTGTACTTTGGGAGCAGGGAAGAACCAGATATGCCAAGACCCTGTTGAATCCTCCTTCACTGTGACAGCTCCTGGAACTGAGGACTCATACAAAGTCACCCACACGTGGTGGTGTTCTACCCCAAACTTCGGGCAGTGAGTGAACTGTGTTTCGAGGCCTAACAAAACGCACTCTGGTCCCTCTGTGAGGCTGTCTTCAGTCTCAAGTGTCCACACACGAAGGACCTGTGTCCCCAGCCACAGCTGGCGGGTCACTGCTCCTTTTAACATCAAAGTTTACACCAGAAAGAAAGAGATGCGTAATACAACTGCAAAGTGCCTGAGAAGTCCCAGGAAGAGAAAGAGTTCAAAGCTTAACTTTAAAATAAACGAACTGATGGGTGGAGTCAATAGATTCCCTTTAAAAATAGTCTCATTTGTTTGTGTTCTGGATGGGGTTTCTTTGTTCCTTGGGTAATGAGTTGTCCCTAAAGATAGATTTGTTTCAACCATTTCCTTGTCAATGAAATGAAGAAGGCAAACAAAGCTTTTTCAGCTCATCTAAAGTTTACCCTCTGTCAGGTACTCCGTGCACTGGGTACTTTGACATGTTCTGTCTAACACAGCTTGATGTTGCTCAATTTAGGAAGGTCGTTTGCTGAAGGTCACACAGCCTGGAAGTAACTTTGGAGTAGTAACTTTGGGTTGTCATACCACTCTAAACCCTAACCCATCACTCCATCCCTTGCTTCCCTAGAAACCATTCTCACGTGTCTTCCGAAATCTGCTTTCTGAAGCACAGAACCTCATGTCACTCTCAAAGGCCTCTACCCCTTCTGCAGCTTGCTCTTGCTAGCGGGGTGAAGCCCAGACATCTTCAGAAGCTGCTCCCACACCCCCTGTGGGACTTCTGCTTTTGTGTTTCCTCCCTATTTCCCCAACTCTACTCCAGCCTCCTAGTTGATTGCCACTTGGGAGCTTTCTGTGGCATGTATCCTGTCCGTCAATACCAGCCTGCAGGCCTGTCCACAGTCAAAGCTCAGTAGATCTCTCCATGCAGAACACAGACAGCGCTTCCTTCCAGGAAGCCCTCCCTGCCACCCCTCGCTCCTGCCCCTGATAAAGTTCCTCTTCTGAGGACCCACAGGTCCCTTCTACTCCTCTACTGATGGATGCTGCAGATCCTGACTTTCTTCCACAGGGCATCATGTACCCCTTTCCTCTCTCACCCAGCCTGGTCCCTGCTCCCCTGCTCCCCTGCCCCCTGCTCCCCTGCTCCCCTGCCCTGAGAGACATGTACTTGGATGGCACTGACTCTATCCACAAGGAGGGGAGTTCTTTTGCTGCTTTTTTTTCTCAGATAGTTCATGAAGAACCCGATAGATGCTAGGCTGTCTTCTACATTTTCTCATTTGTTAATTTCTCTGTCTTTTGAGCAGTGAAAGATGGGGCTTAGGCAAGGAACTTGCAGTAAGTCCCAGGACTGAGTTAGAATTCAGTGCATTTTTTGTTCATTTTATGTGTTATCATTTATGGAATTCTGTTGAAAAGTAATACGTGTGTGTGTGTGTGTGTGTATGTATGTGTATGTACAACAGTCATCCTTTACAGAATGAATGAGGAGAGGAAAGAAGCTAAAGCCCCCAAGCTAAGTAGGTATAAAATAGCTTGACAAATGGCTCTTCTGGTGTTGCATGGGATGATAACACAGACTTAAGGGTATGCATAGACCCATGTACACACACTGAGAAGGGAGATCTGAATGGCAGAAATCCCTATCATTCCCCATCTAAGCCCTTGAATCAGAAACCTTGGAGCACTGTGTGTGTGCCACTATGGGACCTGTGTGACTGGGAGAAAAACTACGTTCTGCTTCTTAGCTTATTCACCCAAAGAAAGAATAAAATCAGGATATACAAAGATCTGGTTTCATCCTACATATGACATCTGCAAACATGCTCATGCAGGACAATGACAGCAGCCTGTGGGAAAGGAGCTGTCAGAGGAACTGGTCTCAGAGGTCACAGGTCAGAGCTACCGAGTCTCCCTGCAATTAACATCAAGTTCGGGTTCTCATTCTCCTGTGATCTGTTGCCATTTTCTCCCTTCACCTTTGCATATTCTATTCCCAAATAAACTTCTCACAAATGAGTTATATTATATTCAGCTAGCATAAGCACTCATATGTAATATGTATATATACACATAATATGCATATATAAATATCTGCATCAAGATTCTTGAATAGACATAAGAAAAGCCCAAGAGTAGTAATTGGATTTCAGAATGCCAGCACTATTGGACAGGGAAGTGGTGCTCCTGAAACCAATGTGGCTTTTCAGATAAGAGATGAGGACCCTGGAGACAGGCAGCACACAAAAGTTCCAGGAGTTAGGCTAGGATAACGAGGTTCCCTAGTCATGGCTATGAACCATGCAGGTCAAACTTGCTTCCTGCCAGTGTCTGTGGATAATGGCAAAAAAGAAAAGAAAATCAACACAATTCCAAAAGCAACTATCCATAGTGCTTAAGACTTCACACATGTGTTGAACAACTGTTTTAAGTAATGACTTGCATATAATATATAGTAATTATAATTATCTGGTACAATGTTTTTATTATTTTAAAAAATGTTCTATGTCTTTGTTAGGGTTTTTATTGCTGTGAAGAAACACCATGACCACAGCAACTCTTATAAAGTAAAATGTTTAATTGGGATGGCTACAATTTCAGAGGCCCAGTCCATTTTCATCATGGCGGGAAGCATGGCAGTGTGCAGGAATATGTGGTGCTGGAGAAGCTAAGAATCTTATGTCTTGTAGGCAACAGGAAGTTGACTGAGACACTAAGCTGTATCCTGAGCATAGGGAACCTCAAAGCCCGCCCCCATGGTGACACACTTCCTCCAACAAGGCTATACCCAATCCAACAAAGCCACACCTCCTAATAGTGCCACCCAATAAGATTATGGGGGGCAACTGCATTCAAACTAACACAGCCTGGTTCTTGTCTTTGGAAATATAGTGATCATTTATATCTGAGCTTGTTACAAGCAAATTTACTGGGTTTACAGATAAATCAAAATGCACAAAGTTAGAAAACTTTAGCCAAAACTTACAGTGAGATATAAAAGCAACACAATGCCCTTTGTGTACTCATGCCTGTGGGCAGATGGGTAAATGCATATGCATACATGTAGCATGTACTCCAGAAACAACTGAAAATATCTGATGGGACAGAAAGCTCGGTGTGGAGAATGGGATGTGGCTGCTGAGAACACAAATCTTAGTAAGCCTTCAAGTATAACATCAAGTCACATTAATTACAGCAACACCCCTTCATAGTCTTCATGTCCCAGCCAACATCAAAACCCTGAGCAGCTCTGAACCAGCACCAGCTCTGACCAGAGAGGGAAAGGGGAGAGATTGTAACTTGAGTCAGATGGGGAGTGCCTGTGGCATAGCTTCCAGGCCAAGAGAGCCTTCTTCAAATACAAGATGTGTAACTGCTCTGGAACGCATATGCCCTGACCATCCCTCGGGAATGTTTTTGCAAGGACTCTGCATGGAGAGACTAGACCAGCTAGCCTCAACCGCAGCATTCCTCCCAGCCTAGGGAGTTTACAGCTTGTATTGGGAGCAAAACTGCATCTATTTCACCCAGAGGTGGATTGAATCATCCCATTTCCTTTCTGAGGAAGAGCACTCTGGAGTAAAGACAGCTGACTGAGTGACTCAGTGCACCATCCCTTCCCTCCCCCACCACACAGACAACATCTCATCATCCCCAAAAGTCTAGAGACAAGGGATGTGTGGTCCAGTTAGGCAAATCTAGGTTGCTGTGTGCAGGTAGAGTGATGGCCAGACTCCTCAAGTGTGTTACTCTGCTGAGATCGGGTGTGGACCTCCTGCCTCAAGATCCCTGGAGTTGCTCTCCCAAAATGCATGTTCCTGGAACATGTGACTCACAGAACCAGAGTTATGAGAAGCAGGGACCGAAAGTTCACGGTCAGCTTGTTCACCAGGCAGTAATTCACATGCACGCTTGCCTGGAACACTCCCCACACTTCAGTGCTCACTTGAATGGCTGAGGGAGTCTGTGGAGACAAAGTGCAGGTGTTTCCACTCAGATGTCTCAGGTACAGACCCAGAACTTACACTCCAGGTGTCAATCACCTGGCACTGACACTGTGGTCGGTGGAACATAGTTTGAGCTCACTGCCTAGTAACAGAGAGTTCAGTTACAATGGTCAGAAAGCATCTCAGTGACCCCTCCCCTCCTGACTTCTGTGCCCTTGCTGGCTACCCACCCCTCTTTTGTATAGCTGATCCTCTCTGAGGAGCATCCTAAATTATTGCTATGCTGTAAAGGGCTCTGGCAGATGTTGTCCTATAAGGAACACTATACACTAAGCAAATGGGTACCAGTTCTCAATTCGATTATAGTCTCTCTTGCTTGGTCTCTCCTTGGCCTCTCTGCCTTGCTCACTCTGATGATGGGACCTATAAAGTGGTGGCCTGGCCTACATGGCACCAACTGTGGGTAGTTTCTAGCCAACTGCAAGTAACAACCAAGCCAACTCCCACCAACAAACCATGTGAACAATTTGGAAGCAGTTTCTTCCCCAGTTGAACCCGAGGTGACTCCATCCAGGGCCAACACCTTATTTGCAGTCTTGTAAGTCATCCTAAGCCAGAAGACCCATCGAGGTCACACTTGGATTACTGCCCTCCAAACACAATGAGATGAACAATCAGTGTTGCTACAAGACATGCGGTGTGGTATGTGGTTACAGATAACTCACAGAGGTGTCTCATAAAGGAGCCACTCTGAGATAATAAGGCATCTTGGTATTTGACCCACGCTTCAAGTAGCTCAGCTCATCTCTCCCTCTCTCATGATAAAGAAGATAAGACGTGTATATAAATGTAAACAGCCAATATTTAATGATACAGTATTTACAAGTAATATATGGCATAATTCTCAAGCCTTAGCCCTGGGTGAGTTTCACTTGATTTACTGGGAGGTTGTACAGGAACCCTGCTTCCAGGTAGAATGGAGGATGTGGATCCCACTTAGAACTCTGTGCATCCCACCTGGCCCTTCTGGAGCTGTCTCTTGAGCTGCAACCATGATGACTTTCTATGGCAGCAGTCCCCATGAGCACGGAGTACTGAATCCTTTGGTTCTGGAGAAGCAAGAAAGAAACGATGTGTTCCTCCACTGGAACTGGAGGGTCTTTCCCTGAGAACACCGATGGGGGCACCAGGACGGGCTGCTCACCCTTTTCCTGGCACAGTGCCTGCTTTCCTTCCATTCTCCAGAGCTGGAGAGAAAGCATTTTCAGAGCTGTTTGTTTAGAGGAGTCACAGTCACCTTGGCAGAGCTCCAGAAGTGAAGCATGGGGCAAGGATGCGCCTCACAGAGCCTGTCTCTTTCTGGGCATTGTTCTTCTCCATAAAATGAGGTGAATGCTTGAGCCCTCCCATCACGGATCTAAGAACATGGGACGAGAAGGTAGCATCTAGCCGTGATGAAGTGGTCAGAAAGTGAATGGATCTCTTCAGAGGGCCAGGCTCCCACCACTGAGCCACCGTGCCCTCTCTGAGGAGCACCCCAAGGGATTTCTGTTCCACAAGGGACTCTGGCAGATGTTGTCCAGCAAGTTCTTAATGGTGTCCTGCAACTCCTCGTCACCCAGCAGGACCGCAGCTGCCAGCGCCAACAGGAAGTATTCAGTAGCATCGTGGGCATCCTGACCCCATGGGGCAAAGAAGACATCATTAGCAGCACTTCCAAGACAGGCTTAGTCTATGCTGAAAAAATTAACACTTTTCAATTACTCCATCCCCACATCCTGGTGCCTCACAGGTGTTCTGCCCCCACTGAATTCTGGCTCCAGTGGCACTGTCAATCATGGTACCCTCCTCCTTAGACACAGAGGTGGCATCTTCCCCATCTCATCCAATCATGACACAACATTGCACTGGACACAGCATTTCATGGGTGTACACATGACCCAAACTCGACCCGTCCATCTTTCTCTGGAACTTTTCAGTGTGACCCAGCAAGGAAAAGTATCCACATCCTTTTGGATATGGGATGAGCCTCCCAAGTGCTGGCAAAGAATGAGGCCTAGAGACACAGAGATGTAGGTACATATGGTGACAAGAAGATGGGAGGAATTCTTGAAGCTGATGGAGGAACAGTACTCAGAAGTACCCAAAACTAAATCCGTACTTCAGCTTCCAGTTACAATTGCTTACAGTCATTCAAGGTTTTTCCCTTTGCAATGCCTGGAGTCCTTGGCTGATGCAACCAGGCTGCACACTCTCTGTCCCTGAGCTGCCTGCTGTGGCACTGCAGTGTGTTGGATAAGTGGGCCTTCACTCTCCTGCCCCTCTCTACACAGTAGGGTGAGAATGGGATGCTTTTCCAGGCAGGAGGCAAAACCAGACACCTGGTTCTCGTTATCCTGTATAATTATTTCAGGCCAGAAACCGTCTCACCAGCAAGGTCAGCAGGGCCAACCTGAGTCTCAAACTTGAGGACACAATTTTAGAGTCAGAGTTGTGACAGGATTGCAGTATACCAACTCTGCTCCAGAAACCACTGGGAGCTGTAGATTGAACTCCAGTTCAACAGGGAAGAGAATCAAGACAGAAATTTCCTTAGGGCTTGAAGAACCTTATATCCACATACCATACATGATTGTCTCAAACACTCTCATATGCGTATGCATTTCTTATACTATGCAAGTTCCTAAAACTTCATGCAAAGTGCAGTGCGCCGACCTAGAACATTTGATAGACTTCTCCAGCAGGGCTTATCAGAAAAAGGCCTGGTGTCCCCAGTGAAACCATCCCTCCACTCATACCTTATGAATGAAGACTGATCATCTTGACCCACTGGTCCTCTCATCTCTGCTCCCAAGTCCCCTCACTGTCTTTCTCAGCAAAGAGTGACTTTTAAAAGTCTGTTGTGGAAGACTAGCACTTACCTTTAACTGGTAGAAAGTAAGTCGGCCCAGGCGATAATATACCTTGGCATAGTACAGTGCCTCCTTGGGACTCTGCAGCCATGGTGGGCAGAGGGACAGAGTCTTCAGGTAACAATCTTCAGCCATCTCATACATGTTCAGAGAGAAGTACACAGTAGCCAGGCGGTGAAAGGCGACCAGCTCCTGTTTCTGATCTCCTAGGAATTACAAGAATAAGGGATGTCCTGTAGCCAGCACTGGGCACTGTTCACTCATTCAGCACATCGAACTTTGAGTCTATGAGATGTCACAGAGTAGGGGCATCGGAAAGAGCACAGAGGAGGCCCCTGCCCTCAGTGGGCTTAGTGTTTCAGAACGAGGAATTCCTTAAATGATCCCACAAACAGAACATTGCTACTAAGAGAGTCACAAAATGTTGAGCTGTGATTTCTGGAAGAAAATGTTCTCCATGTTGTAGGTGATACTGTAAATTCAGTACTGAGAGGGAAGCTAGTTCTTAAAACCTTCGAGGGTTATGATGACAAGACAAGCTTAATCAAGCAATTAGGAATTGCTTCCAGTGAAGAATATTGGGTAGCAAACACCCTTTCCACAGAGTCTTTTCAGAAAGCCCAGCAGCCTCCCAGCTCCTTACCAGCTCTCAGACCCGAGGACTCCATAGCGACCCATTCTCTTTTAGACTAGCTTTCACAACAAAGGCTTTGTGTACGCTTAGGGCTTAAGGTGTCTGAAGTATGTGTGAGTTCATGCTTTTAAGAACTAACCATTTTAATACAAAGTCCTTTTATTAATTCAGAGAACAAAGTTCCTCATCCAGTCCTGTCTTTGGAATGTTTGTAAGGTAGCTATTTGATGCCATCTTCAAAAAATAAAAATAAAAATCTCTTTTGAACTTCAAAGAACCAAAAGCCAATATATATACATAATATATATATATAATATACATACATACATACATACATACATACATACATACATACATATAAGTCCAAAGGAGAGAAAACCCTCTGATCTGGGAAAATTCAATCACAGACACACCTGTGTGAGGTAAGCCCCACCTCCTTAAGCTCCTGTCCAGGAAGTAGCAGAAACAGAATGCTCAGCCCTCGGACCTTTCCTAAGGTCAGTGACAAACCTCTGGTGAGGTTTCCTGCAGTTAAAGTAGAGGAAAAAGGGCAAGAGTCCTCTGCTTTAACTAGATATGAAAAGAGCCACTACCTGCTGTATCAGTTGGCCTTGAAAATGCCCAAAGTCCCTTCTAGAACCACCATAGAGGTCTCCGTCCACTTTGGCATCGAATCAAGGCTTTCCTAATCAAGACTGCGTTTCCTAAAGTACATACACTCAAAATTGAGTTTGTTTTCAATCTTTTTAATTCACCCTTTCCTCCCATCCAATGACTTACAGTATTTCCCAATAGCTTTCCCTGTAGGTGAAACCTCTTTTAAATATGTCCTCAGTTAGGCTAATGGGAACTTGACCTCCATTTTTACTCTATTCTACAGGAAAAATGTGCATTTGCCTAACTCTCAATTAAAAATTCAGTGTAAAAAGTCTTTATGTAATAAAGATATTGCATATGCCTAGGATAAAATCCCATTTGCCTAATGGGAAAATGTTACCAACTGTGATAGAATAATTAGCATTTTCAACACTGACCTCAGAATGAGGCCTTATGTCCCTCACCCCATGCTGTCATATTTATATAGACAACCATTGCTCTTTGTAACAGAATTGGGTAGACATTCATTTGAAAACTTCTCTGTTGATGAAGAACAGAAATTGTGGAAATTCATCTTGCTCAATTAGTTTCCCTGACTTGTGAACCTGGGATTAGAACATACATAGCCTGAGTTCAGAGCTGGTGTCTACTGCCTTACCAGCCACACCTGCATTGTGTTTATTCCTCTGGCTCTATGCACCTAAGGAGTAGTACCACCTACCTGTGAGGATACTCAGCCTGGCAGCCAGGGTGGCAAATTCCAAAGCTTTCTCATAGCCCTCGAGGCTGATCTGCAGCTCTGTCAGTTTGTTGAAAATCCGAAGTTCAGTTCTCAGCGCCTTCATTCTCCTCGCTAAAGGAACGGCCCCAGCCTGAGAACCAAGGCACAGCCATCTTGATCTACAGACACAGAGCACTCTACAGGGAGGGACTAGGGTGACCACTGTGTTCCTCCCACTGTTGACTTTTCTCAACTCTACTCTTGGTGTTTTGCCTACATGTGACTAGTTTAAGAGCTGGGCGTCACTGGACCTCCTAAATGTGTGCAACTGAAAGGAAGTCAACTTCCTAATGATGAAGATAGGAAATGAAAAAATAGCTAGGCAGTCTAGGGCCAGGGATCCCCAAAAGTGAACAGTTCCATTCTTGTCCTTAGTCAAAAGCAGGACATGTCATCCTTGTGTCCCTAGCCAGGAACACCAGAAAGTAGCCATGGCTTGTTACTTCCTGAATGAGTATCTACCTGGGGGTCATCTTAGGGGTGAAGCTACACTGCAGACACTAATCCCTTCCAGTGAACAACTCTCGAATGGGGTCTCTAGATTTTCATGGTGAAAATGGGTTATATCCATTCCCCAGTAACAGCCCAGTCCTAAATGATTTTAAGGCCTGAGCTCTTAGGAAGGAATGGCTGTGGTAGCCACTGAGGGTATGTAGGCTCTGTTGAGGACCCATTAAAGAAAGGATCTACCTCTGGTCCTGGGTGAAGACATGACATTCTAACCTGCTCCAAAATTTAGGATATCACTAACAATTGTCTTCCCCTTTAAAAGTTAATTGTCTGAGCCTGTCTGTCACCTAAAATTATGCTAAGAAAATAAGGGAAACAACCTAAAGTTATGCTAAGATGAGGGAAACAGCCTTAGAGAGATAAGGTACTTCCCCTTCCTAGAAACCTTGCCCCCAGGTCAGCCCCATTTTGACTTTGCTGTCCCTGCCTGTGGTCACACATCTCTGCTATGATGTTACTCATCCCTTTGGAATCACAAGGCCAAAATAAACCCTCCCTCCTGTAAGTTGCCTTGGTCATTATTTTATTGTAGCAATAGAAAAGTAGCCAATACAATATCTATACACATATCCCTGTAGGTCATCTTTCATAATGCAACATTAGTAAAAGAATACAGGTAATCTCTGTGTGCTACCACTGTAAAGTGTTGTGCACCCAAGAGACTAATGACTATGGTATCTCATACCTACCTCAAGCCAGAGAGTAACTAAGTTGATGAGATTCTTTGCTGGGTTAAAGATGGGAGGAAGATGTGAGTGCTGGACCAGGAAGACAAAGAGGATGTAATGGAGCTGCCCACATCTGGCTGAGCACAGGAAGTCCATAGCTTACCCTGTAATACTCCACAGCGCGATGCCTGTGACGGGTCCCATTGAAGAACACATCACCTGCCTCTTCGTAAAGCTTAAGAGCAAGGGAGGGCTCGTCTGACCTCAAGGCTGTCTGGATGGCTGCCTAATGGGACAGAAATGACTGTCAAAGGCAGAGAAAAGGTCATCCCGAGCTCTGTGGGACAAGCAGAGGTGGGGATCCAGGATACCTAGTCAGAATTCTAGTAACCCTAGTCATTGTGTAGACTTGGCCTTCACCGTGAGGCTGATAAGAAGACTCTGATGCTCTCTCTGGAAGTCCTACCCCAACCCCATGTGGGAGGAGACTTGGGGAGATCTTAGCAGTATACAGATAAACAGTCTGTGTTTCCATAGTTAAATATTTATTTTATTATGCTTCAGGAAGACCATTAAGAGTGAGTCAAGCCAGTGATTTGAGACATGAGGCAAAGCTAAGTGTTTTTAAAAGGTTGATTTGAAGTTGAGTCCAAGAAAAATAAATAAATAATGGTTCAGAGGGTGCATGGATTTAGTAGCGGCACCCACTTTGTATACAAACGACTGAAATTAAAAATGTGAGATCTGCTCCAGCAAGTAAAGACAGCAGCAAGACTTGGAACAAACTCATAATTCCTGCAAGCCTATATCACTAGTTACTAGCAGCAAACGCTCTGTGTCCCGTACCCCTCCCCCAGCTCCCACAAGACCTCGTGTCTCCTCCAGCCAACTCAGAGAGCAATCACAGCTGCCTCCCCCAGGTGGCTGGGATGCGTGCAGAGATGGCGGCGCGCACACCAGGACCCACCTGCAAGTACAGCTCCACCAGCTCATCCTCCTGCATGAGGTAGTGCAGACGCCCAGCCCCCAGCCAGGCCTCAGCAGCCTTGTCTCTCTCCCCTAGGTCGACAAATATGCGCAGGCTCTCCTTGATGCAGGTGAGGGACCTCCTGAGAGACCTGAGGACAGACGTGGACCTGTGAGCTGTGAAGGATCCAAGGGTTCTGAGATCACTCAGCCCAGGAGGACCCAGGCTTCTGGAAGAGAACAAACTTACCACAGGCCACAGAGAGAGCAAGCAGGGCCTGATTTGAAGCTCATATCTGCAGGCTGTGTGACCTTGAGACAGTGTAGTACTTACCCATGACTCAGTTTCCCCATCTGGAAAAGGGAAATGTAATTATCCTGCCTTAGAAGACTGTTGTGAGGACTGAGAAACATAATACACCTAGAATGTACAAACCAGTACCTATGCATTAGTAAGCCGTCAACAAATACTTAAACAGCGCGGCTACCACTACTAACCCCCAGCCTTCAGACTACACTGCTGTATGTTTTTCATAAGCGCCCTAGAAGACACCAAATGTACTTTTATGAAATTAATGCCTAAATATCCATAGTGCTAATATGTAGTTGATAACTTGAAAGATTTTGATGTTTCATTAAGAAGAGAAATTAAAATGGACTGAATTTTTTGAAGTTGGTGCTTAATCCTGCTTTAATTATTTGGGAATTCTTTAATTATTATTTGAGGAGAAATGTGTCATGTAGACTATGTAATTTCTCCATGATAGCAATTAATGAAGAATGGTGATGTGGGTGCATGGGGGTGCAGACACAGAGTTAGAATAACAGGGAACACTGGGTACCCTCTATGCCACCTCCAGATGTCACCTTCAGCAGCAATGAGTCTTCTGGGGACTTTTAAAATAAATACATGCAGCCAAGCTGTGCAATTCACCATGGTATGTTAAAATGCCACACTAGCTGGAGCCCTGGACAGTCTCAGACCCCCTGGGATTATGACCCAGGCACTAGCATTTTGTCACAGCTCCTGTGATCCAGCTGCACAGCTTGCATTAGACTTGCTGGTCTAGTCCAATCTTTCTGTGCTCTAAAGCAGGAGTCCTCCACCTGTCGGTCCTGACCCCTTCAGCAAACCTCTGGCTCCAAAAAATATGAGTCATAACAGTAGCAAAATTACAGTTATGAAGCAGTCAACAAAAAATAACTTTATGGTTTGGGAGTCACCACAACATGAGGAACAATCTTAAAGGGTCACAGCATTAGGGAAGTTGAGGACCACTACTCTAGAGGAAACCGTTCCAGAGATGGAAAATGACTTCACTTGGCTGTGCAACATACCAGGAGCAGATCAAAAAACAGAACCCCACCCACAGTTCTGAAAGTATGAACAACCCTCCCTCCCCCATCATGGCCTCCGCTGAATCAATATTACCTGAGAGCTTCAGAAAACCTCAGGTGTCCAGAGTCACGCAGAGCCAACTAAATGGAGGCATAAAAGTCACGTGACACTCACAATCCATAAATATGGGCTCCTAAAACATGCTCTGTTTATGACCACGTGCATCAAAGTCCAGAACATCACGCATGTACTCTGGAAATTCAACCACATCTGTGAGCATGTACACAGTTACCACCTGTTGGACTTTTGGTCTGGCTTGTCTCGCCAAGGTTAACGTGGGGAAGGCTTGCTCTCTACTGTAGCAAAGCCAAAAGGTTGTAGGGCCTATAAGACATAGGGCTTAATCCAAAGTAACTGGGTCATCAGTTACTGGGCCCATTGCTCATAAGAGGGATTAAAAGGCTCTCCTGGGACCTTGGTTAGTTCTTATGAGTGAGTTGTCCTGGAGAAAACAGCGCAGCTCTGGTTTCTTATCTCACCAAACATTCTTGCCATTGTGATGCCATTAGCCAGGAGGTCTTTGCCAGACCTGGAGTGTTGACGGCTCCATGCCCTATTGCCTAGCCCATGGTATTTTGTAATAGCAATGGAAAATGGATTAATACGCTGGCTCATCGCAGACAACTCAGCTGTCAGGCCCTTTTTCCAATGAGGGATGCAAACAGTACCTTGACTGATGACCCCTGATCTGTTTTGGCAGTGAAGCAACTTTGGGCCTTCTGAAAAGGGTGCCCAGGCATCCGGCCTATGTAAGAGCTAGGAAAGAACTCTGGTTGTCCCTACTGCCCTGCCCTCGACGTAAGATGATTGGCAGGGTGAGCATTTGACTCTTTCAAGTAGTAGGGATCTGAAGTTTGGACAATGCTGACATCTGAGAAGCTGCATACAATACTGCATTGGCCACTGACCCCCTGAGTAGGTAGGACACCCACAGTCTTCGTAAAACTGGGAAACCCCAACCTTCTCTCCCCAGTCTGAACAGGGTTAAAGCGGCGCAAGCCGGACTCCACGACTCTCCTCACTCTGACTGGAAGAAAGCCGAAGACAGAACTCACAAATCTCATCTTGTGTTTTATTGCCACTTAGTGTCCTCAAATGTCCTTGCACTGAGGTTTCTGTCTCCAAATCCTCAGGGAACAAGATTTAGATTCTTAGAGGCTAACACGTGGAATAAGCATTTGATGTCTTGCTAGGGAGAAAGAAATAAGCATTTCTCTCTCAGAAACACCCCAGCGTCAGGGAGGGAGGTGAAACACGGAGACTCATGGGCGCAGTGACATCCAGACTCCATTTGAGTGGAGGATTTTCACCAAGACACACATTCCTCTGCTTAAAAACTCCCTAACAGTCTAGATGGAGAGGCGTGTCCAGCTGCCTTGGCGTTTTTTTATCGCTCCCTACCACCACTACCCCGGTATGATAAATCCAACAGTTGTGCTGTGTCACACACAGACTTGACCTGGAATGACCTAGCATCCTAGTTCCTCTTGCCACCCCCTAAACATACAAGATCTGGTTTGGCCTCTGAATCAAAAGAAAAAAAAAAACTTGTGGGTTAGCGTTGAGTCACTCACGTGACTTCCCTGCCTGTCAAGTCTTGATCCCACTTTTGTTTTAACCACTGTTCCTGTCTCCAAGTTCATACTCTGAGTCTTAGGACTTGTTTCTTCCTCCCTGTCCAAATAGGTGAACTGTGGCAAAGTGACTCCCAGCACATCTGTATTCCCAGACAGTCCTGTCCCACCAACCCTGCCTGGGTGAACCTGCCTGACCTTCAACAGAGCCTAGCCTCCAGTGGTCTATCTGTCCTTTTCTTGTAGTAACAGCCCTGCTTTCAGAGAGCTGTGCCTCTGCAAGGTGGTAGGATGTGCACTTTCAATGTCCATTCTCTCAAATAAAACTTTAAATTAGCAAAGCGCCTAGCAGATATTACAAATAAACAATGGCTTAAAAAAAAGAAGCATTCCCAGGTTCCCCTGTTCATTTCTAAGGATTTATTCGGAACTCGCCGTTACTTATTGATGGTGGTAGTGGCAATATATTGTTACCTGGAATTTACTGGGTGTTTAAGCATGCCCTGGTCACTTTGCACACATCGTCTCAATCCCCACAATAGCTTCAAGAGAGCAGTGATACTACTACTGTATCCATTTCACAAAAGGGAAAATAAGGGCTAGTGAAAGAGAAGGCTCCATGGGTTGAGGCACTTGTCACCAAACCTGAACATTTGAGTTCTACCACTGAGACTCACTGGTAGAAGAGGAAACCTGACTATAACAATCATCCTCTGACTTCCATCTGGACACCATCACACACATACTGTGGCTCCTGTCTCCCTTCCCTTCCCTCCCTCCCTCCCTCCCCCCCCTCTCTCTCTCTCACACACACACATATATGTAATTAAAAATGGAAAAAATAAGGCTCAGAAAGTGTAAGTAGCTGTGGTCAGGTAATAAGCCATGTTTGACCAGAATCTAATACTAGGAGTCTAACCACACATTCAAGCAACCCTTACTGAACTTCTGTCTTAGCTGTCAGTTGTAGGAAAGATTTGATTTTTTCTCAACACTTAAAAAAAAATGAAACTGTTAAGTACATAAACAGTTGCAAACCTTGAACAAAATTTCCTCATCTGCAAAGTGGGTGGTAGTGTACCACAGCCTTGGGATCAAGTGGGGGCATAGTAAAGGCAACTGTTTCTTCATTTAGGATTGCAGAACACTCGGGGATTAGTCATGTTGGTTATATTGGAAACCAAATGTTGGAGGCCTTTTGTTGTTTCTGATGGTTTTTTTTTTTAGCTCCACAGAAGCAAGCAGAATAGAATAAAAATAAAAGCTAGGAAGAGCAGATCCTAAACTGGTGTCATATTCACATGCGGAGACTAACGGGTCTCCACAAGGGCCCACTGCAGGCAAAACCCTCCCTCTTTCTCTCTCCAGTCTGTATGATGCGGATGCACTTACCATCGCGTCTCCTACTGCACTGGTGACTGGCTGTTTTCCATTCCCGTCACTGCTCAGCTGTGACTCCTTTATCTGACTTCTTGCTCACTGTCTGAGCCATAGAAATTGATGAATAAATATTTGTTGAGTGGATCCAGTGACGCCACAAGGTCCTTCTGAATCCTATCTCAACTCCAGAAAACAGAGTTGGTCCGTGTGGAGGTTTGAATGAGAATGTCTCACCACCACCCACACACAGATAGACTCATTATGTTTGAATACTTGGTCCTCGGTTGGCAAAATGATTTGGCAAGATTAAGAGGTGTGGCCTTGTTAGAGGAGATGAGGCCTTGTTAGAGGAGGTGTGACTCAGGAGTGAGCTTCCAGGCGTCAAAAGCCTCCCATCACCCCCAGTGTGCACACACACACACACACACACACACACACACACACACACACACATACACACGCACGCACGCATGCATGCACGCACACCAGCCCTTGCAGTTCTGAGATGTGCGCTTTCGGCTGTTCCTGCCACCATGCCTTCTTCATTCTGCTGTCATGGGCTCTAACCCTCTAAAGCTGAAACTCTAATAGATGTGTTCTTCTACAAGTTGCCTTGGTCATGGCATTTTTATCACAGCGATTGAAAAGATACTAACTCAGTCTGTATGGTCAGATCAAGACCGAGAACAAGATCCGCAAAGACTTCTCCCACCCCGAGCCTGGAACACTTGGTTCAGCTCCAGTCTAGTTGTCGCCTGGAAGGCAGAAAGGACATTCATCTGTAGGTGTTGAAGAGTGA